GCTTTGAGGCTCAATCAGTTGTGAAAGAACTCTTAAGTTGGCAAGACTGTCAAGATGGATTGAAAGGGTTTCTGATCTCTGCTTTCCCCGTGATGGAAATACAGGCTTATCTTAGTTTCCAGCCAGTGCTTAGAGTAGTGCTCTTAACTATTGTCTAATCTGCTACCCGGCCTGGTGGCTCATGGGAAATCTCAAAAAACCACTGGCTTGGAGAAGGGTCTTCTCTCAAGAGTGCCTAGGAGGCTGTTGTAGGGAATGAATGCCTGTATAACATGGACTCTTTTAAAGCCACCTTAGAAGAGAAATTACTGGTGACCTGCCTCCTTAGCTGAGTAGCATCTACATTGTGGCATGAATGTGGGTGGCATGGGGTTATTAAGTAACCAAGTGTAGATGATTTTGCATATTTTGTCTGTGATATTTTATTGTACTTTCATCAAGGAACTGGAACACCATGCTCATTTAAATCAGCGGAATCCTATGGTTCCTTAGACTGGTGCAGAGTGAGCACTATTGCCTGTTTGCAGCCAGGGTATTGCGTGAGATGACCTGTCGGCTTACATCTGTCATCTCTGCACCCTCCAGTGGAACAGCAGCTGCAGACTCTTATTTTTGTGATGCAGAGCACGTCTGGGTATGTGGCAGGGGGAACTGAAATATCCTGTGCTGACTTTTTATACTTTTAGATTTTTTTCATTGCTCATTTTGGTAAAGGGAAGCCTTCATTGGGGCCCAATTTATGGGTTTTGCAGTAAATGAGTTTTCCCCCTCTTCCTTAAACGCCATTGGCAACTGATGTCTAGTAGTATGGAAAAGAAGCAGTATGGTGAACTTCTTAGCTTTTGGCCCAGTGAGGGCCAGAAGTTCATGTTTAGATGGACAGATTTTTTTCCCTATAATGGACACCTGGATGCTCACGGAGACTTACAGGACCTCAGATCACAGGCTAAATGGTGAGAAAGCTTCAGGCTCATGCTACCCTGGAGCTGCAATTTGGCCAGGTGGCTATGGAAATCTCCAGTCAACTCTACTTTGGGAAATTGGGCTTTCATCTTTTCTGCTGTGCATTATGATTTTCAATCTCCTGTTTTATTTTCTTCAGGGACTCTTTTAAATTATTATTTTGAGAAATTATTTTAATAATTTGTAAACATTTCTTTTAATTTTTCAGTTCAGTTGTTTTAAAGTTAGCTCAATTCAGGGATCCAGCAGACCCAAGGTGAGGCAATCATGATTTCAGACAAACTTCCTCTTCCAGCTTTGTATTTTGGACTCAGTTCTTATGGTGGTGGGGGTTGAGTGCACAGTGTTAACTGTGGAATTAGAAATGTCCATGCTTGCTTCACATAGATTGGCGGGAAAGGCATTGAAACTTGCAAGCACATTTGGCTCTTGGGCCCCTTGGGAATTGTCCTGAGGCTTTGGATGCTGAGAGTTCATGGGCACTTTGAAAAGAAACTCTCGGAAGTATCCTCACTCTTGCCGGCTCACATGGAGTCAGTTACAGGATTTCTTGGCAGCTGGCTGTGGACACAATATCCCAGGGGACCTTGGAAGCTGTGGGGGTTTTTGGCTGCAATAGGAAGAGGTGGGGACTTAGAAATTGTTCTGCATATGCTCTGCTGTGCCAGGGCACATCTGTTGATATTGTAGGTTCCAAGGAAATCCAGACATTTGAGGGCGATGCCCTCCGTTCACAGTCCTCTTTGTTCATTCATTTAACAACAATAGGAGGCAGGAAACCCTTACTTGTCAAGATCCTGGAAGTTCCCAGTTCTCTTTCCAACCAAGTATGTGGTGTGACCACTTCCTGGGAGGGTTGGGACCAAGTGACCTCTGAGTCCTTCCTCAGAAGTGCACATGCAAACTAGAGTGGGATGAGCCCTGTATCTGTGTCTGATCTGGACTGAGGTGTGTGCATATGGGATTGAGCCTTTCCTTGACCACAGTGCTCATACCCGCCCCTCCCCCCACAACTCCATGCCCCACATTGCTTCCAGGTGTGCACAGTGCTTCAGGTTGTACTTTGTGACTAAGGAATAGTAGGAAACTGTACTGGAGACAAACACAGATTGAGTGATATGGCTTTGAAGAAAGCTGATGTGGCCGGAGAAGACCTTGAGGAGTGAGCAGAATAGAGAAGAGGTAGAAGCTCCTCTGTCTGCCACATCAGGTCTCACGTGGGGCTCCGTGGGTAGCACTTGGCATTGCCTAGCATACAGGGATGTGGGAAGCTTGTGCAGCAGTGAAGTTTGGGGGGTGGTTGAAAACATGCCATTGAGAAATGGCTGAAGGTATAGGACATTCAGGGCTGTCTAGGAATAAGATGCACAGGAAATAGAACTGCCACTCACATTAGCTCACATGCACTAAATGCTTACCTATGGCAAGCTCTGTAGTAAGCACTTACATGTAATCTGCAAATTCCCCTACAATACACTCACCATTGTGATCTTTACTTTATAGATGTGAAAGCTGTAAATAGATTATGAATTGCGAGTTGCATTACAAGGTAATGAAAGGACCATATTTATGGTGCTTGTAACCTTAAGGCAGGTTCAGTAGGAGGAAGAGCTTTCCAACATTATCACTCTCCAAAGGAAAGTGGAAGTGGATGGAGGGGAGGGAAGAAAAACAACATATGTGGGGTGTCTGCCATATGCGGATCTGGCCTTTGGAACTTCCCAGGTATTATTTTAGTTAATCCTCACAGTTGTGTGAAGGAAGAGCTGTTATCCCATTACAGATGAGCAAATTGAGGCTCAGAGTCATTAAATAAATCTGAGCATTTTCTACCAGCAATGACGACCCAGATTTTGCAGATAGATGTTTTTTTTTTTGGCTCTCAAGTACAATGTTATTGCTGCTTAGAACAAAGATGGTGTCCCCCAGCACAGTACTATGTTGGCTCCGCCTGCTAGGCACTCATATCAGCCTGCACTGCACAGATTGTGGTATTCATTTTATTGGTAACTTTTATTGCTGGCCTTCCTAGCTGGGCTGCAAGACCTACATGGGCAGAGAAGCTGCATCAATCCTAGAGCCCTGCAACATTTGAGAGAATGAATGAATGCCAGTAGAGGGTCCTTGTTATGATAGAAGTTAAAATTTGGATAACTCCTACTGGGATTACGAGGAGGTTCTAGTGTTCAATCAGGGATGAATTATCAGTGCTCCTAATCTCAGCTCGTCTTTGGGATTGCTGAGGAATCTTTATCCATACTGACTTGCAACCCTACATGAGATCCCCAGGATCGATTCCCTGGGAGCAGGGCCCAGGGCACCTTTATATTTTGTATCACTCTCTGGTTGGCTCTGCTAGTGGTCAGGTGAAGGACCCTGGCAGACAGGACTGAAGCCTGAAGATGCTGGGGTCCTTGCCCATACCATCTGCTCCAGGGGCTCACTGCCCTCCTCTCACTGACTATAACCAAGCTTCTCTGCTTGCTGGGCCTCCAGCGAAGGCCATGCTGGTGCTGAGAGTCCAAGGGAAGCTTGGTGCAGAGTCAGGCTTGGGACGTTATCAGCTGGGTATTTACTAAGCAAACTTCAGCCAAGGCCGCACTACGGATCCGGGTTTCACAGATACCTATGTTTCCGGAGTTTTGATTCAGAGCCTGGGTCTCTGGAGCCCTTATCAGTGGATGATAACAGGCTCTCCGTGTGAGTCCTAAGGGCCAGTGGTTCTCTCCAGTCCTGGGGGACCTAGACCTAGTCATGCCCTCTAAGGGCTCAGGCCACCTGCTTTTGGTGTGATCCCTCAGGCCAGGAAGAGCCCTGTGCTCCGCCTCACATTTTGGGAGGTGCTTTGGTTTCTTGGTTTTTGAGGGAAAGGAAACCTTTTCTTAGTGGCCAGGTTGACACTGTCTGGCCCCAGAACACATGGGTCAGCATTGGGTATTTGTTCCATGTCCTGGAATTGCCAAGAACCTGGGAGTCACTTGCTTTAGCTCATTCATTCTCCAGGTCAAGGAGAGAGGAGGGGCAGCACATTTTTTTTTTTAAAGAATCACTCAATTGATTAATTAACAAATAACTACTCCCTGAGCTTATTATGGACATGTCACTTGGGAAGACAGAGAGAAATAAGGTGCAATATCTCACCTTAGATGTTCACAATCTAGTTGGGGACATTAGAGATTTACAACAAAGAGGATAACTAATTATTACAGAGCAGGCTGAAAATGTGTTGAATGGGGCTGGAGGTGTAGTTCAGGGGCAGAACACTTGCCTAACATGTGTGAGGCCATAGGTTCTATCCACAGCAACAAACCAAACCAAATACCATAACTCACCCCACCCCAAAATTTGCTGAATGCTTACTCTGTACCTGATGTTCTATGACAAATACACTTTACTTCTAATTTGCTGCTCAGGTGGTTCCTCACAACATTCCCTTGATAAGAAATCACAGATTAAGGGGCCCAGAGAGGTTTAGTAACTTGCTTAGGATCATATAGTTAGGTTGTGGCAGGAGCAGGATTTGAGACATGTACCATCTGACTCAGAGTCCCTGCTCTTACTGTCATCTTCTACTGCCACCTATTTGAATACTGATAGGTCTGGAAGGGCTGGAGAAGTTGTGGATGTAGAAATTCCAGGTGTTACGGGGAGGAAAAAATTGAGGGAGAATTCTGTTTTGGAGAAATAGCAAGTGAAGGTGGGGATATGGGGCAGGCAGGACCACAGAGAGCAGTACACATAGGCCTTCTAGCAGGAGTCAGAGTTTATGTAGGGGTCAGCATGCAAAGTGCTCAGAAAAATGAGCTTGGATCCAATTGTGAAGCCCTTCTAATTCTAAACAGATGTCTTAATCATCTGGGTGTAGGGGAGTCACAGAAGGTTTGGAGGCAGGAAGAGGGACAATACCAGGAAATACACTCTAGGAAGCTTCATGGTTTACCCTGTGTTCAAGCAGAGATCCTAGAGAAAACAAGCATTTGGGGTTGGGGGACCTGACTGAGAGGGACCGTGGGCTCCAGTGACATTGCTTTTCACAGCCACAGCTCCAGAGCAAGCCCCAGCGCCACCCCGGCCATACCAAGGTGTCCGAGTGAAGGAGCCAGTGAAAGAGCTGCTGAGAAGGAAGCGTGGCCATGCCAGCAGCGGGGCGACCGTCCCACCTACTGCGGTGAGGGCTGCTGTGGTCACTGTGTGTGTGTGCATGTGTGTGCATGTGAATGGGATGGTGAGGGTGGCGAGAAGGATCAGGCTCGAGTATACTTCCTTGCACCATGAGACACCCATGGGGCACAAAGGCAGCAAGCTACCCGGTGATGCTACAGAAGATGACGGACTTGGCCTACAACAAGTTGGTGGTTGTTTGGAGTAGGATAAGGGAGATTGAGGCTGTCTTGCATGGCCCACTGAACAAAGCCCCTGTCAAGGCCTGAGGGAGTGATGACACACACCCTGAAGTGAGTTGGGCTTCTCTCTGGGAAGAGGAAGACTACAGTGCCCCAAGTTCACAGACTTCTTGCTAAATGGAAACACAAATCCCTCAAAAAATGCAGTTGGAGATGGTTTGGGGTGAAGGTGGGGTGTTTTGTTTTAACAAGGGAGATTCTTCTCCAGGTTCCCCTATCCTGGGGCCCCTGGGAATTCCCTGCAGTGGCCTTGCTGGAGATGGCTAAGCACAGGTCCTGGTCTTCTCTTCCCTCTAGGTGGTGCTGCCCCACCAGCCCCTGGCGACCTACACCACAGTAGGTAAGAGCTCCCGGCAGTCCTTGTCTCCTCCAGGCCCCTCTTCTGTGGGACCTTCACTTCTGCAATTTCCTTTTCCCCACAGGTCCTTCCTGCCTGGACATGGAGGTCTCTGCTTCTACAGTGACAGAGGAGGGGGCCCTATGTGCTGGCTGGCTCTCTCAACCTGCCCCAGCCACCCTCCAGCCCCTGGCCCCATGGACGCCCTATACTGAGTATGTGTCTCATGAAGCCGTCAGCTGCCCCTACTCAGCTGACATGTATGTGCAGCCTGTGTGCCCCAGCTACACAGTTGTGGGGCCGTCCTCAGTGCTGACTTATGCCTCTCCGCCACTCATCACTAATGTCACGGTATGTAACACAAAAGCAGCGCTGTACCCATTCATGCTGATGGCAACCTCTTACAGGCAGGACTGACTCTATGACCCTTAATTTTCCTTGCTATTGGTTTCCAGGATTATTGGGTCATCTAAGTCCACTGCATTCTCTAGGGAGACCTTTTCCTATTTCCACTGACCTTAAATACCTTTCACAAAAATATCTTATGCCTGTTTTGCCATACTTTATGTTCCTGGGGTTTGGGAAGGATTCCTGCCTCTTTGATTGAATCTTCCTAGCCACTCTGTAAGCAGTGGGTCTAAGTGATAATGAATTGAAATTTTTAGTGAATAGGGTACCAGGTGGATTCTCTGGCCAGGGCCAGCTTTTCCTTTCAATTAAGATAACTTAGGGAGTGATTGTTCACTTAGCCATGGAAATTGTTAGAAGATTTCAAGGCTGAGCAAAAGGTGATAGAACTTTTTAGAAAATTAGTTTTGATTCAGATCTACCTGTAGGATGTATATATATATATATATATATATATTAGTTCTATCTCTAGATTCAGATTGCCTGTGTTCAAATCTCCACCCTTTCCTTCCTAGCCATGTGTCCCTGGGTTTACTCATTTGACCTCTCTGAGTCTCAGGGTCTTCATGCAAAATGTAAATACTAACAAGATTGCAAGATTGCTAGGATCAAATGAGCTAATGCATACGGAACTGCACTTAGCACAGTTTCTGGTATACAGAAAGCACTCAATAAATGTTAGTTGTTATCATCATATCAAAGTCAGTCAGCCATGTTAACCAAGGTCCACAAACCAATTTTAGGATCTTGACAACAGTGGGTAGGAAGTAGTTAATACAACACATTCCCTAGGCAGCTCATTTCCATCTCAGGGGCCTGGGGTGGAGGACACAGTGGTTCCCAGTCATTCCATTACTGAGGATTCTTTTCATTATTTATTCTCTTTGATCATTCCCACTTCTGCTTTGAAAGGTTTTGTGTATCAAACAAACCATATTTATTAAGAAATAATTTATTTGTTTTGCCATTTTATAAAGTAACTCATCAAAGCTGGCCTGAGCTACCAGTTAGCACTCTTGATCTGCAGAGATAAGACCTGTGAGGATCTGGTTTAATGTAATTCTACCCCTGAGCAAGGAACCATACAAGTTGCAGTTGTATAGGCTGAGCACTCAAAAATGAAGGATTTCCATTTGGAGTTTTGAATTATACAGATATTCAAGCTTTCCCAGCTTCAGCACCCTGGGTCGGGGGAGGGGTGGTCACATTAGAAAGAAAGAAAGGAGGTGGTGGGATGTGCACACAGCCTGGATGGTAGGACCCCCTGCTCCATCATTCAATGAAAAAACATCCTAAAGCCTTGCTATTCAAACTGGGCTTTGGACCAGCTACATAGGCATCCCCTGAGATTTGGTTAGGCATGCAGAATCCCAGACCCACTCCACACATCTTGGACCAGAATCTGTATTGTAACAAGATCTCTGGGAGGTTGAAAAAGGTTCTGCCCTCAATGACTCTAATGATATACTCTTAAGACATAGTAGCAACTGGGCAGAGATGACAAAGGAGATAGAGACAGAAGGGAGAGAATTTTGGCTTGCTTCACATCAATCCATGTGAGAACCTCCTCTGCTTTCCTCAACTGTGAAAGACTACGAAGAGTCCAGGGCCTGCCTCTCTGACTGGCTTGATGGCTCAGCTTCCCTGTGATAGTTACCACCAGAAGACTGGGAGGTGATGGTTGGTGCTGGTCCATGGAAACGTCAAGATACCAGAGCTGCTGAGTGGAGCCAGGACTTCCTTTGTGTCTGGAAAGGACAGCAGCCATCTTTGAGATACAGCTACTAGGCTGTGACATTTAACATGGATTTTCATAGACTTAAGATGTACATATTGGGGTGGAGGCATGGCTCAAGTGGCAGAGTACTTGCCTAGTAAAGTATGAGGCCCTGAATTCAAACTCTGGTACAGAGAGAGAGAGAGAGAGAGAGAGAGAGAGAGAGAGAGAGGGAGAGAAAGAAAGAGAGAGTGAGTTTAGGATGCATATATTTTTCACATTTTTAAGATCTCTGAAATCACCAGTATATAATTTATATTCAATGAAATCTGGAAAATCCTATTTGCTCGGCCCCATCACTTCATTTCTATTCATATCCCATTTTATAGGTGAGAAAGATGAGGCTTCCAAGTTGGGCAGTAGCATGAGTTAGGACATGTAGCTAGGAAGTGACAAATGAGGGACACAGTTGAGGTTTGTCTGGTTTTCCCTTGAGGGTGTCTTTGAGTAGGAGGAGGTGGAGCCCCATGAAATGAAAAACTAGGGAAGGACAGAGTTGAGGGGGAACTAAAGACTCCCACGAGGCAGGGATGGGCAGGTGGGTATCCCAGGCCTACTAACCCTTGGTCCTATGTTTCCCCATACAGACAAGAAGTGCTGCCGCACCCACAGTGGGAACCCAGCTGGAGGGTCCAGAGCACCAGGCTCCCCTCACCTATTTCCCGTGGCCTCAACCCCTTTCTACGCTGCCCACCTCCACCCTGCAGTACCAGTCTCCAGCCCCAACCCTGCCTGGGCCTCAGTTTGTCCAGCTCCCCATCTCTATCCCTGAGCCAGTCCTCCAGGACATGGATGACCCCAGGAGAGCCATCAGTTCCCTGGCCATTGACAAGCTGCTTTTGGAGGAAGAGGGGAGCAATGCATATGAGCTCAACCACACCCTCTCTGTGGAGGGTTTTTAGGGCTGAGAGTCATTGTCCCTGAAACTGGGATTTTAAAAGGAGCCTAGAATGAAGCCCTGATTCATATTTGTTGGAGGCGTCATCTCATAGCTATACTTTCTACCCCAAACTACAATTGGAGTCTTTTCTCCCTCCCTTCCTTCTTCCCTTCTTCCCTCCTCCTCTCCTTCTCCTCCTATCTTTCCTCCTTCCCCTTTTCTTTATTTCTTTCTTCTTTCCAGTTTTCTTCCTTATGGGGAGGGAATTACAGGGATATTAGCAGTACTATTTTATGCCAAGTGTTGACAAGTTGCTCTCACATCTCATTCCTCAGAGAACCCCTGTTCTCCAGTGCAGTTAGCAGCAGTACTGTGGAACTGTCCTAGGTCTAGGTTATGCCCGCTGTCATTTTGAAGTGTATGGGTGCCCACAGGAAAACTAGTGCTGCCACCTACTCCCTAGTGAAGTGGCCAAGGGCAGACCTGATGCCAGTGTCCTTGAGCTGTCAGTTCTCACAGTTGCTCTTTGTTTGCTGTTCTCAGTCTTGGCCAGATTTCAGGTCTGGGCAGCAGTCTCAAGGGTTGGGTTGGGGGTTGGGGAAGGAACCAAGGTTAGTGACAGAAGGGAGGGACATGGGAGGGATGGGAACATGTGCATGTGTGTCTGTGGTTGGAGAGGGCATGGAGGAGGAGGCTTCGGGCTTTATGGGGAGAGGAGGAAGGCTAAGGAATGATTTAGCTCCAGCTTACTTTGTTCCTAAGAAGGACATAATCACAGGAAAACTGTTGGCTTAAGAGGTGGTTTTGCAGCGATTTTTGAGAATACTTCCAAAGCCAAGCTGTTAGAAATAGGTTGGGTGATGTTTTTGGCCATTTCTGTTCCCTCTAGACCCTCCGCCGTGATCCCTGAAGGGTAACAGGAAGGAGGTACTTGCTGAGTGTATGATGTGGGCTGCTTTAACATTTCAAATCTCCCTAAGCCACTGTTACGTGAAGCTAGGGCCTCTTCCCTCCAAGCACCATCCTTCCTGAGACTTTCTAGAGCCTCAATCACAATTACCATTAGGTTTCGTTTCAAATTTTATTTTATTCTTACCAGAGAAATGGCAGATTTTCAGGGGACTGAGAGCAATTATTGCCGGGTGCTCAGCTCCTGATTGTGGGTGAGGGCTTTGGGAACTGGCTCATCGTCTGCTAATGATTCCATGGTTATCACAAGGAAGACACTTCAGTTGTGGAATCCACATAAAAGTAATAGATTTTCTGGGAAATGACAGCTTCTTTGACACATTAAAATTTTTTTTTCTTCTCTGTGTTTATTTTCAATCCAAATGTCTCAGTGTCTGCCTAAAATCCCAGTACATGTATCTTGAATTATTCTGATTCACTTAAAGCTTATGACAGTGTCTTAGGCGATAAATTGTATTTCTGTTAGTAGTTATGGTGAGCAGGCAAGGGAGAAGGGGAGGTCTGAGTCCTGTTTCACTTAAGCCTTGTTTCCCATAAAAACATTATGCAAGATTATCTAACACCTTGAGGATTTGAGAAGATACAGAAGCAGCCTCCACAAAGGAGGCAAAAACTAGCCTCAAAAAAAAAAAGTTGGCAAAAACTAGCAAAGAAATAAAGTACTTTGTGAATTTGCTAGGATTGAAATGGTGTCTTTCTCCCTTCTTATCTTGAGGTCCAATATCTGTGTTGTAGTTCACCAGGGTTTCTTCCTGGGTTATTCTGCTAAAAAGGAAACATTTTCAATAAAGATTTATAGAACTTTTCTGTGCCAAAGTGTTTTGTTTCTTATCAAAGTAATTACCCCCTAGCTTTCAGTCCTGTCATTGGAGGAAGGAGCTTACTCTAGTCTTGTTGGTTTTGCAAATTGATCTGTTGGAGGAGGAGATAAAAGCTGTCCCATTGTCCTGCTGTCCAGTTCTGCCCTGAGAAAATGGGTGTGGCTAGTGTGCTTGGTCTCCACGAGAGTGGGGGTCTGAGAGTTCAGAGAAAATCTTTTATCCTTGCTGTTTCTCCTGTTTCTCGTGTTACAAGAGTAATTTTTCATGATGATGGGCATCCAGGGATAAGTTCTACCATTGGAAGTCCACAGCAAACTCTAAAAAGCCATCAGTCAGGCCTCAGGAGCTTGTGACATCATGTCCAAAGGAAACTATCTCTTGGGGCCAGACTTCACAATGCAATGGAAATCCAAGAAGCCACTCAATCCAATTCTTGGAGTCCCTGTTTTGGAGGGGTCTCTTTTTCTGACTTGCTAAGGGCCTCTGAGCTCACTACCTGCACTGTCAATCTTTATAAGGGTAATTGTTTTAAAATTATCCACATTATTCTGTGTATGTCCTTATTTCCAGATTTTTGGGGACAACTGCACACCCAGTTATTTAGTTCACTTGAGAGGATTAGCACCACTCTCCTTTTGCGTATTCATGCAGATCATAACCAAGAGAAAACGCATGGAAGGAAAGGGACTTGGATTTCTCCTTCTCTGCTTTACTGAGGTACAATGGTTAAGGAAAGATCTATTTAAAATGCACTTTACAGTGATGATTCTAAATAGGTATTTCTCCTTAATCTGAAAGGAATTGTCTTTTCCCAAATGACTCAGACTTACATATCTATGTTCCTCAAATCTGCAAGCCATTTTACGAAACAGAATAGCATCATCCTTTGTGTATAACCCACAAAAGGTCCTGGGTCTTTAGGAGAAAGATGCATTGATACTGACCAACCTCCTTGGCAAAGCCGATTTCTAAAATAAAGTGCTTTCTGCCTGAGGAAACTAAGTCAGGATGATGTTCTTTACAGTTGCGTCATTTGGCCTTATTTTCCCACATCCACTCCCCACTCGGGGAGCAGTGGCTTTGGGCTTTCTGTACTTGGACACCAGGAAGCAGACAGTAGACCCTAGAGAGATGGAGGGGGTGTTGAGCAGATCTGCCACTCCTGCAGTGACTCTGCCACTCCCTGCAGTGACTCAGCACCAGCGTCACAGGGATGACAGGTGCAGTCACTGATGTGCTCCAGATGGAAACTCTGATTAAATGCACTATTTTTTTTTTGTTTTGTTTTTGTGATAGTGGGGGTTGAATCCAGGGCCTTGCTCATGCCAGGCATGCACTCCTACCACTTGAGCTATGCCCCCAAGATTTTAAAAAATTTTGTTTTTGAGACAGGGTGTTACTACTCTTGTTCAGGCTGGCCTAGAACTCCTGATTCTTCTGCCTCTGCCTCCTAGGTAGCTGGGATTAAAGATGAGAACCACCACACCTGGCTAGAGGCACTTTTGAAATTGAATAATGGGTCCTTTCGCATTTCAAAAGTCATTCTTCCCTCATCTGAGGCAGAGTGGAAAGAAGTTTGTAGCAGATGTAAGTAGGTTGGAATTGGGATAATATCTGTGTAATGTCCATTGTAATATCTGACACTGTAAATACACTATAGAATATTAGTTCCTCTTAAGTAGAAGTTTAAGAAGTCTTTTTGCACCTGAAACCTTTAAAATTTAAAAAGGCTCACAGATATGATAAAAACACATCATATGTACAATTTAAAGACAAATTAATTTTCTTATAGCTGATATCAAAACAGAATCTCCTGGCTGGAAAATAATTTACCTTCCTGTTCATCAGTTTGAGGTCTGAGATGAGGATATCTTTCATAGACTCTTTAAATACTCTCATCAATTATTTGGTCATAATAAACCGTTATAATTCTAGTAACCACAGCTATTAAAATTATATTTACTGAAAATCCTGTGTCTTCTTTGCCAGCAAAGTTCAGTGCAGTAACCTGGGCTTCTCAGAAACCTGGGTGTCGGCGTGCACAGGTGGGTTGGGAAGCAGCTGAGAGAGATTCACCTACTAGGAGCTGAATTCCTCAAGGTTATCAGAGAGAGTTTTGATAATTCATCTAAAGTGTTTTTTCTTTCATCATTTTTCTATGAAAAGTTTCAAATATGCAAAAACGTTTGAAGAACCATACAGGGATCACCACCTAAAGCCTATAATTAGAGTGTGACTCTAGTTATCACAATTTATCCATCTACCCACCTTCTTTTTCTGTTGATAAACCTATTTAGACCCATTTCTCAAGTGCACTCATCTCTAAATACTTAAAGATGCATATATTAAACTGCTATTAGCTTAGGTTCCTTTCTTTTTCTATTGTGAGGTTAAATGTATTTATTTTTAATTTCTGTCTTTTTCCTTTTATTGATGTATTAGCATATTGTAGGTATACCAGGGGTACACTGTGACATTTACAAAGTAGCAATAATAAACCCTCCCTCCTCCCATTCTTAGAACTGTTTCAGTAAGTCTCATCGTCCCATTTTCTTACATGAATACATAATACTTTCATCATATTCGCCCTCCTTCACCCTTTCCTTATGACTTCTGGGTCTTTTTTGTTTGTTTGTTGAATGGCAGCACTGGGGTTTGAACTCAGGGTTTTACACTCACTATGCAGGAAACTCTACCACTTGAGCCACTCTGCCAGCCTTGTGAAGTCAAATTTATATATAGGAAAACAGGCAAATCTTATAGGTACCTACCATTCACTGAGTTATGGAAAATTTGTACACTGGTATAACCCATCTGCATTGATACAAAAAATACTATTAGCCCTCAAATTCCCTGTTGTCTCTGTTATCAGTCTCCACTTCCATCATTGTTTTCACTTGTTGTAGACTTAAGCATGTGTGGAATCATACAGTACATACGCTTTTATATGATTCTCCTTTCACTCAGTTTAATTTTTAAAATGTTCATATATTGTTGATGTGTAAGCAGTTTGTTTTCATTGCTGAGTGGTGTTGCATTATATAAAATCTACCACACCTTATCTATTCTCCTGTTGACTGACACTTGACTGTTATGAATATAGTTGCTAAGAACATCATTGTGTGTGTGTGTGTGTGTGTGTGTGTGTGTGTGTGTGTGTGTGTTCCTATGTTATTTCTCTTGGGTAAATGCTCAAAAAGAAATTACTGGACCATATTGTACATAGGTGTTTAGTTTGTAAGAAGTGCAGAACTTTTTCTAAAGTGCTTGTGCCGTTGTATACTCTCATCACCAACAAATCAGAGTTCTGTTTATTTCACATCCTTGACATTTGGTTTATCTTACTTTGGTTTTCATTTGTATTTCTTTTGATGATTAATAATGTTAGATATTTTATCATCTATATATTTGCAGTTCTTTCATTTTTGTTGTGAAGTGAGTATTTAAATATTTTGACTATTTTAACAAGGCAATTAATTTTATTATTGAGTTATGTGACATCTTTACATGGATTCTGAATATAATTCCTGCAACAGATACATGTCCCACGGATATTTTTCCCTGGACTATTCATTTTTCCAATGGCATCTTTCATGAAGCTCTAAATTTTGATGCAGTATGATTTATCATTTTTACGAGTGCTTATTTTTGTTTAAGAAATCTTTTCCTGCCCCTTAAGTTGGAAAGATATCCCATTTTCTTCTAGAAAATTGGTAGTTTTATGTTTTACGTTAACTTCATGCTCTATTTTTGTGCAGGCTTGTGTAGGAGTCAGGA